TAACTGTAAATCCATGTGTGCAGTACATGTGCGATGTGTGAATCCATGTGTGCAGTACATGTGCGATGTGTGTATAAGTGTAAATCCATGTGTGCAGTACATGTGCGATGTGTGTATAAGTGTGCATTTAAGTGTGCAGTACATGTGCCATGTGTGTACAAGTGTAACTCCATGTGTGCAGTACATGTGCGATGTGTGTATAAGTGTCAATCTATATGTGCAGTACATGTATGATGTGTGTATATGTGTAAATCCATGTGTGCAGTACATGTGCGATGTGTGTAAAAGTGTAAATCCATGTGTGCAGTACATGTGCGTTGTCTGCATAGTGTATATCCATGTGTGCAGTACATGTGTGTAAAAGTGTAAATCCATGTGTGCAGTACATGTGCGATGTCTGCATAGTGTAAATCCATGTGTGCACTACATGTGCGATGTGTGTATAAGTATGAATCCATGTGTGAAGTACATGTATGATGTTTGTATAACTGTAAATCCATGTGTGCAGTACATGTGCAATGTGTGTATAAGTGTAAATCCATGTGTACAGTACATGTGCGATGTGTGAATCCATGTGTGCAGTGCATGTGAGATGTGTGTTTAAGTGTGAATCTATGTGTGCAGTACATGTGCTATTTGTGTATAAGTGTTAATCTATGTAAGCAGTACATGTACGATGTGTGTATAAGTGTAAATCCATGTGTGCATTACATGTGCGATGTGTGTATAAGTATGAATCCATGTGTGAAGTACATGTATGATGTTTGTATAACTGTAAATCCATGTGTGCAGTACATGTGCGATGTGTGTATCCATGTAAATCCATCTATGCAGTACATGTGCGATGTGTGTATATCTGTAAATCCATGTGTAAAGTACATGTGCGATGTGTGTATAAGTGTAAATCCATGTGTGCATTACATGTGCGATGTGTGTATAAGTATGAATCCATGTGTGAAGTACATGTATGATGTTTGTATAACTGTAAATCCATGTGTGCAGTACATGTGCAATGTGTGTATAAGTGTAAATCCATGTGTACAGTACATGTGCGATGTGTGAATCCATGTGTGCAGTACATGTGCGATGTGTGAATCCATGTAAGCAGTACATGTACGATGTGTGTATAAGTGTAAATCCATGTGTGCAGTACATGTGCGATGTGTGAACCATGTGTGCAGTACATGTGCGATGCGTGAACCATGTGTGCAGTACATGTGCGTATGTGAATCCATGTGTGCAGTACATGTGCGATGTGTGTATACATGTAAATCCATCTATGCAGTACATGTGCGATGTGTGTATAACTGTAAATCCATGTGTGAAGTACATGTGCGATGTGTGTATAAGTGTAAATCCATGTGTGCAGTACATGTGCGATGTGTGAACCATGTGTGCAGTACATGTGCGATGTGTGAACCATGTGTGCAGTACATGTGCGTATGTGAATCCATGTGTGCAGTACATGTGCGATGTGTGTATACGTGTTTGAGGCGTTATGCGTTATTTTATATGCCTCCTGGCGTCGACTAAATCCATGTGTGCAGTACATGTGCGATGTGTGTATAAGTGTGAATCCATGTGGTGAAAAGATGTGCGATGTGTGTATACGTGTTTGAGGCGGTATGCGTTATTTTATATGCCTCCTGGCGTCGACTTTAGACTGTTATAGTTATCTCAATGAACTACCATGCTGAAGACACCCAGCACAGTATTCCATCCGATTAGTTTAACCAGTTGGTGTGATCCCCCTTAATGTTGAACGTTTAGCAGAGAATAACACTTATACCATGTTAAGGACTCTGGTATGTCCCTGCCTTGAGTGAACAATAGCTTGCCAAACAGCGTTAGGAAACAAATGGTTGTTAGGATATCAAGATCCCAATTGTTGCAATAAGTGTTATGAAACATGTTTTTGCCAAAATGAATTTAAGATATTTTCCTTTTGGTAAAATTACATCAAATTAAAATATATTTTCTCTGTGTTAAAGCTCATCCAAAGAAATTTCTGAGCCTCTTAGATATTACATTTGGGAAACATCTCTCGTAAAACCACAATAAAACTATAATATACCGACAAAAAACTCAAAATACATTAGGTTTTTTCCTTATTCCTTTTCTTTTAAGCTAAATCCATCGGATAAAAGGACGACACTCAATCCTTTTTTCCACATTTTTCAGAGGTCGAGGTGGTGACGTCTCCTGGGATTAAACGACGTCTGTGGAAACAAAAGAGCGGCGGAAATAGGTCATTTGAGATCAGGTGTTGTGACGTCAGACGGGGTTAATGACATGATGAACAATCGCTGCCCGGGCTTCATATGCAAATGAGATATTTTCACACGGTATAACTTGGGCATACGGTCGTAAATTATTTCGATTGACCGATCAAATGCCGTGTTACATTCCAAAAGGAATAATAATATCCTTTGAACAACTGGGAGACGGTTAGCTGTTCGGATTAATATATCATTAAGTATGTTGGGTGGGTGAAAAGTGTGGGATACATTTCTGTCATTTGATACTGATAGCATGAGACACACTAATGAAACCTGAACCATCCACAATGTAGAAATACGTTAAAGCCACGTCTTTCATATAACACACCATAAACACTCAATGTTCACGCCAGGGGTTCAATGATAAACGGGTTTACAGGTATTACCTAAATATGAAGATTCTTATTTTTTGAATACAAAATAAAACAACACGGTTTTCTTTTACAACAGAATAAATGCATTTAATGCAGAATATGATGTCGCATATGCATGTCACGGTAGTGGTATCTTGTCAGGTTTTGTTACAAATATTCATCACACATTTGCCTGAATAAATTACAGGTGTCATGAATAAATACCTCCCTTGGATTGTGACTTCTGGTGTCCTTGGAAGAAAATAGATACAATTACTGTTACAAATATTCATCACACATTTTCCTGAATATCTGCCCTTGGATTGCGACTTTGAAAAAATGAATAAAGCTTCAGGTTTATCAAGTGTTGTTTATTTATAGGTGTTTGTAGTTTACCGTAATTGACGTCATTTTACTCCAGATCTACGAACATATAGGACAGAGTTATCATATGAAGGCAAGGCAGATATTTAAAGGCCATCCGAGAGCGTGGGATTCGGACAATAGAAAGGCGTGACTCTGACGTCACATAACTACTTGGGCAACAGGAAATTTAAGCATAATTTTATGTTAACATTTAACACCCTTGGCCGGCTGCAAAATACTTTTGAATACTGCGAGAGTAATTCAAAGAAAGCGATTAACCAATACCTGCATTTCATTTTGTTCAATTATTTCTCATTATTAAGTATTTTTCCACTTTGAATAAAATCAATTTTGTGACCCCACTAACTGACTTGGGACTGTCCCCAGAACTTCACGAAGCGGACCTTATGTTAGGAGTTTACAAACATAAACAATCATTACTACCTTATCAAAATGCTTATATATGTAACAAATTGTGTTTTAATAAAGGTACTATATTTAGTTTGTCAGCAGTAGATTTGCGTTTTTTACGACCTTTGCGTTAAGACATGCATTGCTTAGATCGACACTTCGTTTGAAAATACTTTGTAATTACTTAAGCATTAAGGTTGATTTTTTTTAATTTTCATCGGGGTGACCCCGATGAAAATAAAAAAAAATCAACCTCAATGCTTATAATTAATTTCATTAAATGTTGTGAAAAGAAAACATAAGCAAGAAAATTGAATAACATCATTTTAATAACGGCACTTTATTGCGCCCAATAATTCAAAATCAACAGAGTCTGTAATTTTGGGTTCCTATGCAACGTCGCGCGCGCTCAGCTGTTCAGAGCTGGACATGAACGAGTCGGCCATTTTGGCGAACTGGAAGCGGAGAGCACACGAGGCAACTACTGTCCGAAGTTAAACACGCAGTGAGCAAATGATGAGCTTGACCACGGAATTAGATTAGATGTTATCTAAGTCCGTGGTTTGACATTAGGCCAGCAGATACAAAACTTTGCGAGGAAGACACTTGTGGGACAGTGAGCATGGAATTATGTGGTTCATAGTGACCGACGGGTTGACATGATTGTTGGAGCACACGTTTTGAATGTCGGCGAGTGTCGCTGTGTGTGATGGTTCTGTGTGTGTATGTGTAACGGGAACGAGCTGGTGACTGATGTTTGGCTACATTATTGAGTCCACCTTGTTTGTTTTAGTCACCCCTGGGGGAACCCCAGCGGGGAGTCCCGGACTATTAATTTTGGTTTCAGTCCCAGATTTTGACCTCTGTTGCCGACCACAGTTTTCGGCTTTCGTGTGTTTGCTTCTGTCGCTAACAACAAGCTTTTGGATAACTCATATATCAATTTAGGAATAGATCTCACATACAACCAAAAGGCGTTCCGAATTTCAAACTGAAGATGTTCCGAATATGAATCAGTCACCTTTGAGGTTACCGAAGGGGTAGACTGTTATATTATATATTGCTATTAATTGATTGAGATTTGTAAGTCTGACCAACGACTATATTGGTAAAATTTCTTTTTAAACCACAGTATTATTTTTTTAATAAAAAGTTCAGGTAGAAAAGCTCAATAACGTCTCTTTTTCTTTATCATCTATTCACGCAGTGACAAAAGAAAACGTCACCTAGCAAAAGGGCAAACTTGATTTGACATGCCGAGTTTGTGCTTGCCGCCGGCACTCTGCATTCAAGCATACGCGCAATTTTGCGGACACAAATAAGATTTTGTATCGCTTTGCATTTCTCTGCAGACCGGCGAAACTTCTAATCGAACGGCAGGTGCCGAACATGCAGGACTTAAGGGACATACGATATCAGTAGGTAGGTGCCGCCTTCCCGGTGGTAACCGGCACGCCTGAATCAAGTTCGTCCAAAGTAAAAAGTTTACGACATTTATGGAAATTGCTTTATTTTTTTAATTCACACACTATTTGCAGCAGTTACATTATTATTTCAAAGGGTGATATGTTATAAATAAATGCGCCATCATTCAAACAAATATTCCATCAACATTCATATCCTGCATGACAACGTTTACAACTTTTGAACACTTTACGACATAACACGGCAGAAGTTGAAATGGAAAACCGGAGGAGTGCAGGGTCATGTAAGGTAAGTAGTTCATTGCCATATTCAGAATCTATAATAAAAGCGCTCGACACCGTTTAATGAAAGTTATTGTTTCTGCGGTGTGGTGGCAGTACTAGTGGTGACCACGAGGTACCGACAAAACAATACCATGTTTTGCCGGTACAGTTCCACGTGGTCGGCAAAACACGACATTGTCATATTTATGTATATCGCTATTGCCAATACTATTCTTGTCAGTGTCCTGTCAAAACGTAAGGACAAATGTGTTTAACAGCACTGTTGTGCATGTATATATTTCTTTTCTATGAAATCAACCAACAAAGATCCAGCCTAATTTAGGGATGTAAATAAAGTTGAGGGTATTGTGGTATTTGCAGCTCTTTCTGCAAATCATGGCTCCTTCCATAATATTTCCTAAGATCACTGATCGTTCTATCTGTAACATAAAACATTTCTCTTGAGTTTCTCCACTTCCCCTTGCAGGTTGAAGGTACCGTAGGTGTAACAATACAGGTTGAGCACAGGGACTTGTATAGACTTATATGATACATATTAGCTAGAAATATGTATACATGTATATATAGGTATTTCTAGCTAATTTTATCATATAAGTCTATACAAGCCCCTGTGTGTTGAGCTTACCAATATTGCAATACAGAAGGAAAATATTGCGATAGTGTTGCAATATAATTTCACATGAAAAAATGGTAAATTTTTCTGATAATTGGGCTTAATTGGTGTCAAAATGCTGTCATTAAATCTGAGATAATTTGTGTGATACATTTGTACTAAAGTGTATGCTAGTAATAGCCTGTGTTATGGTTATTAGCATATCTATTTGACTGTTAGAACATGTTGCGATTCAGCAATATTTTATTATCGGCTTCGCATTGTGATAGATACATGTACGATATGGTCTGTGTATTGCGATATACTGGTTTTCCGATACATTGTTTCTCCCCTATAGTCTATACATGCTTTATAAACCATGATCACACTAAATATCCCAATTAAGCATTGTAAGATAGCTGATATTTTCTCATTTCCAGAATACACAAACAAAAATGGAAGGAAGTACTTCAACAGCTACAGCAATACACTGTAAGTCATAACAATTATAATTAGTTGGTTTAATTTCTAAACTTCATGTCAGTGGACTTGTTTCAGGTATGGATTCTTTTAATCGGTGATTAATTTTTATGTTTTCTGGACGAACTTCCGGTAATTTTTGTGTCAGTTAACAGACGATGGCCAAACGTCTAAAATATCTTTGTGTTGTGTCCAGCAGGTCACGTAGTAACGAGATATAGCTTGATAAAATGGCTGCCCGGAAATATATAACGCGCGGAAACCAATAACTAGACGATATTCTCAGTTTTACCAACAAATTATTTTTCCTGAGAATTGTCAACAGTTCTCTTATATCATTTTTTTTTCATTTTAACAGATGAAATATCTCATCCTGGCACTTTGGAATGTTTGAATGTGGAAGGCCTTGAAATTGGGATGCAGAAGACCAGGGAATGTCACAGAAATAAAAATAAATAAATATTTGCAGTGTTTGTGTTTTATGGTCATAAAACATGGAACATTTTCTTCAAGTAAATCAACCACATGCTTTCTTATTATATTCTAGTAGGTTGGCATGGTTACATAAATAGCGTGTATGCATACCTGGTCATTGTTAGACCATTTTGATTGACAGGTGGAAATATGTCAGTTGTAGCTTGGTCAATGCTTTATTATACTGAAAATAATCATACAGATCATTTTGACATATTTCTTGTTTTGTGTTGTTTCATGGTTCAGTACAACATATTCATTTCCGTCTGTGAGAAATTCAAACGACCGCGGTGTCAATTGTATGTGAAATTCGAGGCCCCTGCTGACGAAATGCATTGCCAAGTTCAACCAGATCCGGTAACGTAGAAGGACTGGATTTTCTTTAGCTGCGGTAACGTAGCTTTCTGACGACCAGACATTTTTTTTATAAATATTGCAGCCTGCCGGAGCGGAGCGTAGGCAGGGTATGAATATTCGTTCTAGATTTTCTTCTGTGAGGTAAGTGTTTATTTTGACCATGTCCTCTTTGCATATTATCTATTTGTTGTCTGTCGGGTTTGAAGTGCCATCCCTCACATTCGCCTTTACTTTTTTGCATCTAGCATGGTGTTGGCACTTTTAAATGATCTGTCTCTGACAATGTCAACATCTTACCTGCCTATATCATTCAGGTATCTGTTAATGGCTGCTCGGACATTTACCAATGTATTTTTGTGGTATTCTCGGCCTGTTTTTGGTGTGGCCTCAGCATAGAATTGTCGTAGTTTTAGACACAAGTCATCTACACCTATGGAGCTAAGGTCCACATCCGCCCCTACCATTTGTCGGTTCCATTCTGAAAATAATAGCCTAGTTTTAAAAGTTTTCAAAAAAAAAAAAATACAACAAAAATACAGAAGAAAAAAAATCAAAAATAAATGTGAAGATGATGCAAGATTGTTCGACATCCTGGTAGCTTAATGCAAAATATTCCCATTTTTTGGGAAAGATCCGGGTTCAAGTCCCGGCCAGGGTTGAAGAATATTTGTGTCATTTCACCCCCTCCCCACCCTTCCCCACCATCCCCATAAAAACTTGTAAAACTTACCTTGAAACACCTTGATGCCTCACTTCGTGTTATTCTTGGTAGATTTTGACTGTCGGGAATCTTCCATACTTTTTTAGGGTTCTTCCGACAGTCGTATAAAGCGTTGAGCTTGTGGGGGGTGGGGGATGGGGGCTGGTTGTCTGACAACTGTTACGGGGGGCTGTTCCACTTCCATTGCTCTGGCCATTTCTGTCCTTGCCTGAGACGGCGATGTTGGTGTTGAAGCACTAGCAGAATTCCCGATGTCAAATAAATCTTAACAAAATATTGTTCAGTTCATCATCTTCCATTAACTGTCTTTCCACTTCATCAATGTCGCAATTCTGTCCGAACCCCCCAAAATGTCACCAGGTTCGCCGATGTTAAATGTTGGTGCGTCTGCCATTATTGTTGATGAGCAGACGATGTTAAAAAATACCTAAACTTTTTTTATTTATTGTTTTATTCCTAGACAGGTAGTTTTATTTTATTTTTTTTATGATATTTTACATTCATTGCAATTGTAGTATGTGCACATTCATTGAGTCACACGTCAGAAAATTGCAATCCAATGGAATCACCAGGTGATCAAAGCGGGGGTATCTCATCATGTTTCCTTTGAAGTTGCCGACATTTCAAAAAGTAGTTCCGGTGGGCGTGGTCATTATTCTTTTTTTCATAGCAGAATGAAAAGAATGAATTGACCAATGGAATCGGAGTATTTTGCATGAAAACAAAGAAAAATAATTATCTTTTAATAACAACATGTATGATGATTATAATTAAACATATATTTACCACAGTACCACTAGGGCACGCGGTTCGTAAACGTTGGTGAATTACTTTTTGGATAGGTAAAGTTAGGGGTACTTCCGTGTGTCTGAGTGTGCTCAAAAAAACTTGAATCCCAGGTTGTAAACTGTTTCTCGAATATGCAGTGTACAGCATAGTTTGTAGCTAGAATATCTGTTTTTAGTTAAAATGTTAATGTTGGTGGTCAACCCCAGCCACAGATGTACATTTATCTAATGTATATGATTGTCATGGCGACTACATGTACCTGAGTGTATTACAATTTCAGCAGAGTTACAAATACACTTTTTTGTTTTGTCTGGCTAAAATGTTCAGTTCTTGTAAAATCATCACTCACGATAAATATTCCAACAACACACTGGCAAATAAAGTCCTTTATTGGACGGAAACGCATTATTGTTTAATTTTGATGATATATATATGTACTCTAACATACACAAACGTACGTGGCAATAAGTGAAACGAAACATATTTGTGACTGAGCAGACTTGACTCACGCAACTAATAGTTTTTTTAATGTGTTCCTATCTTAGACGATCATTTTTCCTCTTATTTTTCCTCTTAATTTTCCTCTTTCCTCTTATTTTTCCTCTTATTATCTGTCTATTCTACCGTAACCCATTACAATTACCTCTGTGCTGATTTACATTACCCTTAGTTACACCAGCTATACATTCACAAGCTGATATGCAAGCTTAGCACATAGCTGATTCATGTTGCATTCCATCCTCCTATATGCAGACGGTTTCTCTTTTCATCTGTGAGAAAAATTCAACGACACCATGTTGTTGAAGAATTTATCAATAATGGAGGTATATTTAGCAAATGTGCTCTATTGAACACTCTTCCGTGCATGCATACCTTAATGTTTGTTTATGGTTAATAATGTCTCCTCTTCATATGAAGGGAGAAATGTTGTATTAGTATTGATTCTTCTGGTTCTCGTTCTTCTAGTATGATATTGTCCGGGCCGAAACACAAACATGTCGTGTACGCCAAGGTGATGCCAACGGTCCCTCATGGTATCTAAGTTTGCTGAAACTTCGTATGCAAATATATAATCGTTTGCGACTATGGGGTCTGTTTTGAGGACTTCTGTAACGGTCCCCATTACAATTAGAACTTGTGCATTTTATAATTTAGCAGTAGTCAGTTTCTTTCATGATAGGTCCAATAAGTTAAAAGACATCCTGATAAAACATACGATGAACAGTGCACTGTCATTAGATCACTGTGACCTTGACCTGAAGGTCAAAGGTCAAATAAGTGCAAAGTTTCAGGAATATTTTGTCCGGGCTGTAAATTTTAAACCGTTAGAGGGGAGACATCTAGTTTTGTCATATTACGATAAGGCTTGCCACTCTCATCGCTTGCTTCATGATTCATATTATTATACAGTTAAAGTAAAGGGTTAAGGGATATAGCAAGTTTTTGGTGTTCCGAGACCAGGTCTTTTTTTCCGAGGCGAAGCCGAGGGAAATAGGAATGGTCAAGGGTCACCTCAACCCCATACTTTAACCGTTCAATTATACCAATACACACTGGAGAAATAGTATTAACTAGAAAATATTTGTAAACCATAAGCTGTATAGCTTCACGACCAAACTACCCTTTTGATTGCAATGGAGCCAAATGCTTCCGAGTTCGGTAACAAGCTCCGCCCAACTCTCGCCTGATTGGCTTGGCGGAAACACCCGAGTGTAGGTGTGGTTTAGTTCCCAGACTAACACACAGGACTAAAACACAGTCAAGCAAAAGTGGGGATATATTCGATTTATACAATTAATTTTATATAGAGTAAGTAAAGTAGAGGTATACTAACATATAATGTCATATCTTGATAGGGCGTCCATGAAATTCTATCAAATCCCCACTAAATATGTAAATGGACATCAGTTTTAGTAAACACCCTGTCCATACGCTGATTTATGGTGTAAATCTAAACGATGAGAGTGGCAAGCCTTATCTTATGATGGCCTTATTCAATTTTGTATTTTCGCCATGATTTATGTGGAGTAAACCTTAAGAGTATTTTTAGATTTGATGTCCGACACAATAGTTTTGATAACGTCATCTATGTATAAGGAGCCGGATAGAAGGATAATTAGTTTTGGATATGATTTTTATAGCACTTCAGAGCGCTTTTTTAAGTTAAAAGCCGCATGCAATTTAAGTTGCACTAATTGTCGCCAGCTTCTGACACATTCATTTTTGTTAGGTTTAGTTAACAATATAAAAATAAAGGGTATCGTTAGATCTAGAATATAAACATATCCTTTTAAAAAAAAAAAATCTTACATTTTATTCTTTTACGAATTCGAACTTTTGAATAGATCGGGAATTTAATGTTCTCAAAATGCAAATATTATTTGAAGGTGTTTCGTTAAGAATAATTAATAGCTATAATCAGGGATATTAATTACGATAACCACTCTTATCACAACATGTGTTTGCAATAGAAAACTAGGTCATGTGTAAAATAATTCACTGATACCTCTGTTTCCTCAAAAGCATTTTACGTAAACACAACAATTAAGGTGAATACCAGTGTTTCACGTATGTATGTGATTTTGATGGATAGACAGATTTTCCCGAGTGATCAAAACTTTGAAAAAATTTCCACGGATCTATTTGGTGTCATACTCCAATTTCATGATTCGATATACATCAGTACCTGAATAGGAGAAATGTGCGATTATGGCAGCGATAATAATTGTATGGATGGGGAAATCTTCCTTCACGTTACAAGATAAAATATAAAAGCAGTCTAACCTCGACAACCAACAACTAGTCGCCTTGATAAATAATTACCATCCAGCAAAACCAATAACTACCAACAAAAACCAACACATACCAACCACAACAAACATATACCAACCACAACCAACACATACCAACCACAACCAACCCGTACTAACCACAACCAACATATACCAACCTCAACCAACATATCCCAACCACAACCACAACCAACCACAACCAACACATACCAACCAAAACCAACACATACCAACCACAACCAACATATTCCAACCCCAACCAACACATACTAACCACAACCAACACATACCAACCACAACCAACAAATACCAACCACAACCAACATATACCAA